GCCTGCTGCCTTTGATAACAAACAAGGAATTTGTGCTTGATGCAACGAGCATAGTCGGCTTCTCTTTCTATTCACTGAAACATAGCATGACGTTAGCGTGTGCCGAGTGCCAGGGTGGAGAATAGAAGACGATGCATGGCATGAACCGCCCTTGCAAGTCTGTGCGCTTGCTCCGCATTTCCAAATCTCGCCAGCAGATTGCGCCCCGTGGACCGTCGGCCGCACACTCGCGTGTTCCCCCTAACAGTGGGCTGCACTGTACATCCCTTTCACGTGGTTTTGAAGCAGTATTTCTTCAATAAAAACCAGAGATAGGCAACAGCTACATACACCGTGATCGCACGAACTGTAGTGTAGATTTCCGTTGGTTTGACAGCCTGAGGAGTAAGTAAAAAAGTCGCAAAGGCAAAAACACATCATAGTGCTTGGAATGCCATTTTGTTTTACACATATACGTTTTATTCTTCATTATTTTTATTAAAAAAACGTTTTCGTATGCAGTGTAAAATACAGCTGGCATGGGACTGACCACACAATAGTTGTCAAAGTCAGTTGCTAGAGAGAGAAGAGGGAAGAGGATAGCCGAGACGCTAACCAGATACTAGCATCTAGTTTTCAACCCATTCATTATTTTTCTAACGCCTTGAACCCAGTGCAGTGGTGGGGAAGAAGGAACAAAAAGAGGGTGTAGAGAGATAAACAGCAAAAGAAAAAATTTGACACATCTCACGTTTCATGGGAATGTTGTTATGCGAAACATGTAGAGGGGAGGTGACATGGGTGCAATGTTTTTATTGAGCGAAACGTTGTGAAATTGCATTAAAGATACGGGCAATTGTTGTAAGCACCGGTATATGTTGAGATGTTGCATGTGTTTTGCCTAACCAGTTTGCAGTTATGTAACGAGGCCAACAGTTACATGGTTATTATCAACACCAGAAGCGGCCGGCTCAGCGCTTGTGCTTTCGTGTAGATAGCCTCGGATAGTGCTACATAGACCACCTTCACTGGATGGCGCTTAAGTACAAAAGTAATGTTAGCCCGACGTGACACCTGTATCATAGGAGTACATACGCAATTGTCATAAAGTTAGATGTACAGCACTGCAACCACAACTGACGTTTCACCAACATTACGCCCGCGTAGAGGGGCTCTCCAAAGCAATTCCGAAGGTCTCGCGGGGCTCTGGGGCAAAATACTTGATTTTACCGCAGAACGCGTAGGTTTGATTTCTGTTTGCACCCTGCTATTGATTATTTGCTTTCTTCAGGTCAGAGATGGTGGTGTCAGATATTTCTAACGCTCTCGCATGTGAATTTTCGATGTCTCTTTCCGCCCTGAGTGAGTAGACTTGACCTTTCGATCACCTCTGGTGTATGCCCGCATAGCCCGGCCCGTGGAGGGCAGGTATGCCTGGATGAATGGGTTTGACGATGTAGGAAATGTTTTTTTTTTCACGTTATTCATGTCATGACCAGCCAGGTACACTCGTCAAGCGCTCTAAGCCCTCTTACTCTCCCATACTAATTTTGATCTACGTCAAATTAAGGAGGGGATCACGAGAGCACCCAGATGTCCTCGGCTTCATAAGCAGGTAGATATGTAGAAACTCGTATAGAGCCAGCAGTTTAAACGTTGACAAGTTTCGCTTCATTGGTTGCATAAGCATCAACTAAATATTACTTGCTCGCAAATAAGAGTTCCAGAACCTGAATACTGAAAACGTTACGTTCAGTCATGAACTACCACAAAGGTGAATTAGATAGAAATCGCAGAAGGTTAGCGGGTGGTAATAGCGATCATACACAAGCAGCAACATGCCAAAACAGTTTAAATACGAAATTAGAATATAGGAATAGAATAAAGCAAAAAGCGAATTCTGAAACAGTACCCAACCAAAATACAACGAGGAGTCAAATAAAACACAGAAACAATACGGAACAGAAGTTGAAAAAGTTGGCCAAAAATGAAAAATATCAAAAGAACTTATTCAGGAGACAAAAATAAACGCAAAGAGCACAAATGTGGATATGTGAAAAAATTATATAGATTAGCTAAGGTGAGAAATCAGCACTTAAAAGGAAAGATTTTATAAGTTTTCTGAGATGAAAATGTTGGAACAGATTTAAATTGAACAGGCAAGCTATTCCAAAGCTGGATGGTAGAAAATTGAGATGTTTTCCTGTCGTAGTTAGTGTGAACCAGTGGTCGCAAGTAATTATAATTAAAAGCAAATCTTTTCGCTAAAAAATGCTTGTCACTTGAGACGCGCATACACAGAAAATAAGGGCAACTTTTATCTATAAGCTGTTGCAAATTTTTAGCTCACACATCAATGATAATAAAACATTCCCTGAAAATGTTAGCACGTTTTCATTTTAGAGCGCATAAAAGAATGTCTTTCACCTTCAGCCGCGGTCGTGTATACGGAAGGCCTGCAACAGTTTCAACCTCGATTCCTCCATGTAATATGTGTTTATACTCACCAGTGATTTTATTTAACCTATTAGATTCGAGAAACCGCAATTTCATTTCAATGTCAACGACTTTCAATTTTCTACCTGACTGGTGACTGTAGTATATCGGGGGCTGTTTTTGCTTCGCGATTCAAACGTCAGCATAATGAATATTTACGGCAAATAAGACGTCCCTAGTAGCATTTACGATAAGATGACCTCTATGGGGTATCTTCAAACCAAAAAACCAGTTTTCAATCTTGCACTTTGTTCTTCATTGCTGAAAGCGCTTAACATTTCAGAGCTCATATTGAAGGATCACTGACAAAACTTTGAAGGCAAGATACTTTCAGGGATAGATTTATGTGAACAGAAACAAGTCATCTACGAAATTTCAATAGATACTATAGCCTAGAAGATATTTGAAATTACTTGTAATATACCTGTCTCGGTACCACACGTGAAATGCCTCTTTGGTAGCAGTGTTGTCAGCCAACCACCATCTGCTTTCCGAGTTTGTGTTCGCTGCCATGGTCCTTGCGAGTGGTTCTGCTCTAAACGACATTTTCAACGGAATGAGAGCTGGTTTGCGCGGGAGCACAAAGACTTACGTACGTACATTGTCAATGCATTTTTGCGGTGTCATGCACATTCGAAGCGCCTCCGAAGGAGCCTGATTGACAACAGTTTTTAACGCTGGGCTCGTGTGCACGCCATTCTGTGTGCTCACGTTGCCAGCTACGTTCACACAGAAAAACCTCTTGGTGACGCCTCACTCGGCGCTCTCTGAAAGCGAAACCGCGACTGGGTGGCTTGAAACAAACTTCAAATAATTTGTCATCACGCTCTCGAGAAAACGAGTTTTTCAGCCGTGATAGGTGGGTCAATAGCTACCTATTGCAAAAGAAAAAAAAACAAAATGCCAATTTCTTGTGTCTGTGCTCCTACAAGAAGAGCGCACCGTATACTTACCTGTCAAACACTTTAAATATGATATGCAAAAGTAAATCCCGAGGGAGAATGCTTGAAGTGCGTGTCTCTGGCCTAGCCTGTATACAAGAGAGTCCAGAATCATCTGACCTCTTAATAATAATTATAATATTAGTAATGATATTGATGAAGTGTGGTGGTTTTCAAAGACCACAATATTATTAGGAGAAATGTCGTAGTGGAGACCTCCAAAGATTTCGACCATCAGAGTCGTGCTCTGTAGCGTGCACTGAAATCGCACAGTTCGCGGACCTCTATCATTATGCCTGCATGGAAGTGCGGCCACCGCAGCCGAGATCAACACCACGATAATCGCTTCAGCAGCCGAGCGCCGTAGCCACTGATCTACCGCGACGAATTACCCCACCCCCCACCCTCCCTTACTTTCACCACTGCCATACACCATGGTTCAGCGGCCAACTTTCTCGCATTAATTGAAAGCACGTGCCCAAACACGTGGCCACACAAGTATGGTTGAACACTGCCAGTTTATTTGAAGAAAAAAAAACGCATCTTCATGAAATAAATAATAATTAGCGGGTCGAGCTAGGTCCTATGGTTTATAACTTTTCTGTTGAAGGTGCCGACAAATATAAAGGATGGACAGATGGACGGAAGGACGTACACAAGCACGCACGCACGTGGGGACGGAAAGAAGAATTGACGAACAAGTTGACGGATTCAGGGATCGACGGATGAACGAATGGCACAGGTGTTTTTTTTTTTCGGCTGTACGGAAAGTGCCATACTAGTGTAGATGCCGGGACACCACTGGACGCCGGACAAGGCTAGCCTCTAAGAAGCTTTGCCCCTAAAAGCCCCTGTAATGAAAATACGAGACCAACAGCAAATTTATGCTTTGTTTATTTTTAACATTCGGGTTCCTGAAGGTGGCTGTTGAAAATCCTCTCTTGCGTATGACTAGGACCACGACCATTTACTTATAGAGGGCATAGGTAACGTCTTTACTCATTAAAAATACACAAATTTAGCAAAATTATTCTCTATTGTTATCTCTACATCTATTAAAGCGAATCTAGTGACGATCTTTCCGTTATTCCGCAAGCAATTGTGGGCCCTGAATCACAAAAGGTGAGCTAATAAATGCCAAGTAAAACGCCAATGAATCACCGCGCATGCTAATAAAGCTGAAAAACTCACCGCTCAGCAAACACCTTATCTACGGGGTATGTATTATGTTGGTTGAAGCCACAAGCATAAGCGTGCGCATGGCGTCAGAGGGGGCGCAGGGGGTGCCCCCCCTTGTAACCTAAGAGGGGGGCGCATATGTTCCCCTTGCGTTGACTTGATAGGGGGCGCTCTGTAAGCCTAAATACCCCACCGCCCGCTTCATTCCGAAGGAGAACAGTGTAAGCGCCGGTGACCACAAGCTTGACATAATATAGACAGCCGCTAGTGAAGCGTGGGGCAACGTAAGTTTGCTACGTCAAAACTGAGACAATTCTTTGTGGCATGCCTCAAATCAATACGCTTTCTTTAATGCATCAACAGCGCTGACTAATAATTTCAACTGAATCAATTTTTTTTCAACAGGCTGATCTGATGCGCTACTTCGGCTACAATGTCGAAGTTCACAATGTTACCACGGCTGACGGCTACATCTTAGAAGTGGACAGGATGCCTTCGAAATTGACGGATAACGCCACTACATCCAGAACACCTCTGCTGCTTGTTCACGGTCTGCTCACGAACGCCGCCACCTGGACCGCGAACCTACGCTTTCAAAGTCCAGGTATCGCATATCGTGCAGTGCTAAAAGCGAGCAATGTGACACTGCCTACAGAGCTCCTGAAAGATTACTGTGATTGCCATTGTGATAAAAAGAAAATTTTATTCTACCGCTATTACCACAAAACGACACACATTGTGCTAATTCAGAACATATTACAGAAACATAAGCATGCTGAAGGTATTTGATAAAGTACTCAGGTAACACGATGTGTTGCGAATGCTTTTGACAGGGAAAATACCGCATGTACCACTAACCGTGGGAATCAGTGTTTGGTGGAGGGAAGGTGATGGCGGCTTCATTTTTTACTTTGCGAAACGACACGAAAATGCACTAAAGATATGTACAAATGCTGTACGCACCAACCTGTGTTGAACACTAATATATGCTTTATGCAACCAGTTGGTAACAACTGCTAACGATGCCAGCGCCAACACAGGTATCACCAATACCAAAACCTCGAAGCTGCTACGTAGCTCTTGTGCTTGCGAGGATGGTAGCACTGGCTAGTGCTACGTTGACAATGACACTAGATAGAGCCTAAGTATTCAATACACGTTAACCCAACCTGACGTCTAGAACACGGAAGTGCATATGTATCGCTTATAAAATTGAATAACAAGCACATCAACCACCACTGACGTTTCACCAACATTGCGCCTGCATAGGATCATAACCGAAATTGTTCCGAGGCCTGCTGTGGCTCTGTGGTAGAGTACTGCATTGCCAAGCACAACGTTCGGGTTTGATTTATGCTGGGACCCTAATGTTAATTCTTAGCATTCATCGGCTTAACGCTGCCGATGCATTTTTTTCTTGAAGGGCCACTAACCAGGTTTGACAATTTTGAGCTGACAAACGCAGTGCATAGACGAGGCGTTCATGATCACGTCTGCCGAAATTTGCAACCCGATGCGCCGTGGATATGAGTCAAATTTCAAGATGAACGCTGCTCCCCCTCCCTTTTGCCGGCGCATGCCCAGAGAATGAGGGCTTGACGTGTGCGTATGAATGGCCGTACGTACACGCCCATGTAGTGACGTTATCCCTCTACGTAGACGACTCTGCTCTGACGTCGCAAACAGCTCTACATAAGGATTTACACGCAATAACGGAATGTAAGCATCTTTTTTTCATTTTTCTCTCCCTGAATTGCAACGAGATGCGGGGCTAATGTGTCGGCGTTTCGCATGTGTACCTGCTATCAGCGCATCGAGGAGACGACCACCGTGAAACGCTACCTGCATTTTCACGCACTCATTGTGCTCATCTATTATACCGCGTCTAAGCCAGCGTTTCCAAATCATCCCACAGAAACAGGCAGAAGACCACAAAATAACGCTGGTCAACGAAGCGATGCTGCTCGCGTGCTGGGGGGTTGGAGTTGTTTGGGCACGTCATGCGCACGTGACCTCTTGGACGGATGCCTGAGAGGGTGGGAAAGAGATTTGGCTTGCGAATGTTACGCGGAGGAGCGGCAAGGGTTTCGAGCTCGCCTCCTCTCATCCTGTTTTCGTGCCGCTTCAACAAAAAAAAAACGTTTTCTCCGCTCGTGATGAACCGAATGATGATAAATAAACTTTATTTTAGTATCCGGCATGCTTGTGGTCTGGGCTAGACCGCACAATGAGGTACCGGGAGACCTTGTCTCTGTGCAGCCTCCCTGGCCTGCACAGAGACAAGGTCTCCCTGGCCTGCTGGGCTATCCAGCAGCCTCCCTGGCCTGCTGGATAGCCCATTTTTGGTCTTGGACCTCCGAGTTGAGCAGCACAAGTCGCCACTGCTCCCGGAAGACCTCCGGAGAACTTGTTGATAAGCTGGGACATTCCCACATTATATGGTTGTAAGACGCCTTTTCTGTTACACATAGCTTACATTTATTGTCAAGGTATAAGTTTGGGTAGCTCCTGTGGAGGTGCACAGGGTTCGGGTAGCAGTTCGTCTGTAGCTGTCGGTATTCCGATGCGTCTTGCCTGTTTATGCTCGGATGAGGGGCGGGAAAAACGCGCCTTGCTTCTCTGTAGTGTTGCATGTATTCTGTGTAGCTTGTAAATCGGTTTTTGTGTGGTACGTCGGCAGCGCCAGGGATGATCATCGAGCGGTGTGGTCAGCTTGCGCGGCGGGTTAATTCTCGCGACAACTCATGAGCCAGCTCGTTAGGATTGGGTGTATCAGTCTCTGTGTGCGCCGGGAACCATACGAGGTATTTCAATTCATATACTTTGTGTAGTTCTTGGTTATTAACGAAGATTCTGAGGGCTTGCTGTGAAATCCGTCCTTGCGTAAAATTTCTGATTGCTACTTGCGAATCGCTCAGTATAAATGAGTGTTTGTTGGAGGTGATAGCCATGTCTATGGCTACCTCTTCAGCCTCCTCTATATTGTTTGTTATGACAGAGCACGCATTAATACAAATGCCGGACGTGTCAATCACGACAGCTGTGTGAGCTTTTCGTTCAGGGTATGGGCTAGCATCTACAAAAAGAGATTTACTGCTCCGGCCGTGTGCTTTGAGCAGTGCTTTTGCTCGGTGTTTTCGGCGGTCCGTGTTGATAATGGGGATCATGTTTTTCGGTATCGGGTTAGAAATGATCTTAGCTCTAATTGTATTAGGATGTCATTTTTGACACCATGTTGTGCATGGTACATGATCCCTAATCTACTCATTATATTTCTTCCCGTTTTAGTTTTACTGAGCCTTTCAAGCTGGGATATCCGCTGATCTTCTATAATCTCTTCAAGCGTATTGTGTAGTCCTAGCTGAAGAAAAAGGTCTGTGCTAGCATACTCAGGTATTCCTATCGCTTGTTTGTAGACCTTCCGGATGAGTGCATTTATTTTATTAGTTTCAGCTTTTTGCCAGTTGTGGTATGCTGCTACGTACGTTATATGAGTTATGACGAACGCCTGAATTAGACGAATTATGTGGGCTTATTTCATACCTCGGTGTTTATACGTGACCCTGCGAATCAGTCTCATCGCATTCGTGACTTTGGTGTTTAGTCTGCGTATAGTTTCGCCGTTGGCACCCAGTCAACTATTCGTCTCATGTTACATATGGTCAGTAATCCTGTCGCTATCGGTGAATGGTACGTCTGTTTTGGTATGCAATGGTCACTTCCTAAATCATCGAATGTGTTGTGCCATGTAGCCCCCGGGGCATTCCTGGTTATTGTAAGAACCGGTGTTGTGTCTCGCTGGGTGCTTGTACCTATGCGTGTGTGTGCATGCGGGTCTGTTATCAGAGTAAGCTGTTCATCGTGTATTTTCCCTTTGGGGGTGGTGTAACCGTACCCCCATGCCTCGTATGCGGCGTTGAAGTCCCCTGCTATGATGAGCGGGGCGTTGCCAGCTATTATCACGGCCTGCCTAAATACAGAGTGAAATTGCTGTCTGTGATTTGACGGACTGCTTTATACGTTAAGAATAAATCTGCTGCTCCCTTTTGTTTTCCTAGATAGAAGTTCTGTCATTATATAGTTGTATCCACATACTAGATTATGGGTTCTAACCGTAATTTCTCTCCTTACTAGTGTAGTGAGAGCTTTATTTCCTTCTTCACGCTCGGGACTTACTGACTGGTATTCCGGTAGTGTGGCAAGGCTATGCGTTTCTTGAAGTAAAATAACATCTCGCTTGTTACCTTGTCGCATGTACTGCTGGATGACCGATTTTTTAGCCCTGAATACTCTTGAGTTCCATTGCCATATGCAGAGTTGTCCTTTACCACGCCTCACCGTCACTGTTCGTTATTTGTGTGGGAGGCGTGAAAATAGGTGGGTGCGTGAGAGGGGTTGGTGGTTTTGTTGGAGTTGCCTGCAGTGGATATAGTGCCTGCGGTGGTTGGTGAACGTTCGCGACTACACCCTGAAGGTCTGCGGATGTTTTTGGGGTGCTTTCTCGTTCCAGCATTTCTACCCTGGCTGCTAGTGCCGTCAGATCAACAGACGTCTTAGTGGTGGTTTCCAGGATAGATTGTAACGTGGTTAATAGCTGGTCTACTTTTTCTCAATGTTATCCAACCTTGTTTGTTGCGAGATGCTTTCTTGTTTAGTGCTTGGGGGATCTGTAGTTGAGTTTTCTGCGTTTCGGCCTTTCGTTTTAACGGAGGGGTAGTTATCTCCATGCGATCGTCGGCTATGGGTGTTTCCTTCTGCATTACAGTATTAGTTATATTAAGGCTTCTGGTTTTGCCGCATTCGCGTTCCATAATGAGGAGTTCTATTTGAGCTTGCATCTGTTCTATCATTTGTTTCATTCGTCTGTTTTCATCTTTAAGCCGCTCTAACTCTTAACTGTTGTTGTTATTGCTACTGTTATTATTTTTAACCTCCTGAGTTCTCTCCGGTCGCAAGCCCCGTACTCTATCTGCCCAGCTCATCTTGTTTTTTGGTCCCTTAGACGTCGATCCCGACCTGGAACTGGGGTGGGAGCTTGCAGGGCTGCGGTTCCTTGAACCGGAGCGGGATCTTGTTTGCTGTCGTTTTCTGGATCTTGATGTCGAGCGCTCTCGTGGACGTCCTCTTGGTGGAGATGAGCTTTGCCTTTGATGTTCTCGTAGTCTGGCCCATTGTCTCTGTTTTACAATGTAAGGTTTCTTGAACCTGGCCGTGCAGCTTTTATCGGCTCTAACGTGGTCTTTTCCACACATTTGACAACTAGGGCCGCATCTGTGGTCGTCTTTGGGGTTGTGAATGCCGCAACCAGCACAACGTTTATCTTGGCGGTAGGGGCACACGTCACTTCTATGTCCCAGTCTGTTTCACTGATTGCAGTAGTCGATTTGCTTGCGGTATAGCATGCACGGTATTATTACTCCATCATAGCACACACTGGGGGGTACCTTGTTTCCACTGAAGAGCACAATGACCGTTGTAGTATTACCAAGTCGTTTCACTGTGATGATGCTGGGGTTACTTTCAGTGACAAGGGCCGCCCTAACGCTACCGGGCGTTTCTTCCAGTGCGATTCCTTTAATGATACCCTTGGCTGTATCTTCTGGC